AAATTCAGACAAAAGCCACATTTGCTTTTGCATCAAAATACCATACACAAAGGTGTCAATGATTGGGCTCGAGACAATTCCGCAAAGAACTGATGATTGACTATTGTAAATATGATTAGGGACTCATGTTTTTTAAACTCCAATAAAAATTGTGCTTTAATGAACATTGTGCGTTGAACTATCATTTCATCTTTGTACGTCGATGTTGTGGTGTTTTCAGATTTTACGTACTACTAATTACTACTCTCAATAAACTTTTGGCCATTTGGTTTCTGCAACTCTTGTATAGAACGATCAAGTGAGAGTTTTTTTCACATCTTGCTTTGGAACAGTAAATGGGGCAAGATTTTTGGTTTTCAGTTGGCCACTGGACTTACCAAAAAATCTTACGAAATGACCGACGCGTTCGAAAACATCAACAAAGTTCAAATTCGCTAAAGATACTCACCTAGCCTCTGTCTCTCTTTTTACCTAGCCGCTGTAGGTGATTTTTTTCAAGTACTTCATTTTATGAGGTCTTAAAATTTCTTGATGGAATCGTTGCTAAGTTAGGATTTAAATTTGTTTCAAATATCGTAAGGATAATGTATAAACAGATGAATCGGTGACTTAATTATAAACAATATAATCATAAACGATTTTGACATCGTACCTCGACACGCTAATCGTGTTTATAGTGTGTGACGTCCAGCACCGCCACTGATATCATATGTTTTTTTTTCTTACCCGCCTACAATCATGATCGATCGATAAGCGCTCCATTACCCACGTTAGAAAAATATCAATCCTAGATCATAGAGTTCCTAAGTTACCGACCCGATTAACGAATTTCATTTTAACAAATGTTTAATTATTCTTATATGATTTCTAAATATTTTAACTCACTATGTTTAATTATTATGTTTAATGAATTCAATTTTTATTATAACTCAATGATGTCAATTAAATAGAAAATAACTCCATAGAAGTATAACTACACGTGGCTGTATTAACGACTCAAAATGATTATTTACAAACACAACATTACATTAAGCTTTAAGCCGAGTGCAAGAATATCAAACAATAACAATTGTCACTATACCACAGATATCAAACTCAAGTAATCTATCAATTAATTAAATAATAATGAAATCAATAGCACTTCACGAACGAACACTGAGTCATCGTAAATATGCACTGTTTGGTATCGTTGCACTCGTCTCAACTCACTGATTTTAAACAATTCACTGTATCACACTTTTGTCAACAATTATGTCTAATATTTTATAATAAAGATTTGGCCCGTGGGACGTAGAAAGATCGAGAATCCGAGGACGGTTGGTTTGTTCAGCCCACTCGTAAATTTTACGACCTTAGGTCAAATCAAATTCCAGCATGTACTTAGCCCACCTAAAACAATAGAGATTCTGAGAGTATAAAAAGCCGATGAACAAACCAACAGACCTCGCATTCTCCCTTGAACCTCCAGTTGTAAAACACAGCACACGGAGCCGTTATAAAACATAACGAGTAAGTTCAAAAATTCATTTTCCTTCCTTCACTTCTCTACTCTGCAAGCCCATGAACAACTCATGGCAAAGAGCTTAAAACAAGCTCGTCTGCTACTCTCTCAAACTCTCCAGCTGTACAACACGGCCCACGGAGGCGTTATACAACATAACGTATGTGTTTGAATTCCTTTTTCTTCCTCT